GTGTAAATACTCCCTGTAGCGGGAAAACATGCTTGATCTGGAGAATAATTGGTTTTTTATAGCTGGATAAAGATGGAAACATTGATAATTCATATTTGTTATCAGTAAGAACATTTATTTGTAAATTTAGCAAAGCTTGTGCAAACTGACCTTTTCTATAAATCATTTAATGAAATTTGATATCATAAATGAAAGCCAATATAGATTCACGAAAAGGAAATTTTCTGTTTTTTAATCTGCAATCTGTTTTTGAAGATGTTATGTGCTACCTGGACGAGGAAAAGGGTGTAGACTTTTTTACACTTAGATTTTCAAAAAGCTTTTGATAAGGTACCATACAAAAGATTGGCTGAGTAAATCACATCATAAGGGGTTCGGGAAGTACTAATTAGTTGGATAGTAGGATCATTGGATGGGAAAAAGCAAATGATTGTTACTTGTATTTATGAAGTGTGAAGCTCAGTCAGACTGGATCCTTGTTACTAGTGGTGTGCCCCAGGGGTCATTTCTTGGACTTTAGCTATTTCTCATATTGATAAGAGTATTGTTAGTAAATTAGAAAAGTTTTCTGAGGAAATTAAAGTCTTGGGTATTTCTAGCTGTACTGAGGATGTTGAGTTATTTGGATCAATTGGCAAGTTGGATGAGTATGTTGAAAATTACCTTTAATTATGGTAAGTGCAAGGTAATGCACTTGGGTTGTCGTAAGTTGGTTCACACATTTAATAAAAATAAGAAACAACTCTATAGCATGACTGAAGAAAAGGATCTTGCCATAGTGGTGGATAAGGCACTCAAGCCATTGAAACAGTGCTCCATTTCCAGTAGTAAAACAAGTAGAATTTTAAGACACTAATTATACCTCGGTTGGAATACTGTTTACAATTTTGGGTTCCTAATCTGTCAAATGATATTGACTTAATAGTTCAGAGGAGAGGTCCCTTAGGATGATTTCAGGGATGGCATATTAACTTAGAGAGATAAGTTAAGGTCTCTCAACTTATTTTCTCTTGAGCAAAGAAGAGTTAGAAGTAATCTTATTCAAGTTTACAAGATTATCTTTTGGATTGATAGGATAAATAGCTGATTTTTTGTGTGCTATATTCTGAAGATAATAGGATCAGAGAACATATGCTTAAGATTTGGAAAAGATAGGTTAGGCTCTAGTTAAGACAATTTTATCTTTCTAACAGGGTGATTGACTTGTGAAATGAGTTGCCACTGGGAGCATTGGAGTCCAGCCTTTACAGCAGTTTAAAAGGGGAATTGATGATATCCTGAAAAGTAAAGGGTGGGTTTATATTTTTTTTGTTTTCAATTCTGGGTGTGCAAGAACAGCTGTGAAGGATCAAATGGTCCCTTGTTTTCCGTAAGTTATGTCATGTAGTCAATAGTTCTGCCAGGTCTTCCTTGGTCCCAGTGAAAGTCATTTGCCTGAAGTAATGATTGTACATTTCCATTTCCTTTACATTATTTGAATGACATCTTTTTTATCTGAACATACATATTTGTATATTATACTTAAGACAGGTTATAAGCATCGATATTTAAGCTTCAGTACTGTGTGTGTAATATTACATTTCTCTTATCAAAGAATAAATATATGATGATGATGATGTTATAAAACAAACCAGTTAAATTAATGGAAAACTCCTCCTTAAGGTATTTTTTAACATTTTAAAGTTTGAAATGACACTAACTCCTTGGAGATCAGTGGCACGTGTTTCAAATAGCTAAAAAAATCAATGCTGTGTTTAATGTCACCTGTTGAAGACTTGGTCACATTTGACCTTGATCTATGTAAAATGGTCAAATCTATAGTCAATATATTAGTGAAAAATTAAGTAAAAACATTGATATGTGTTCATTTAAGTCTGTTCTCAGCTTCTTGAAATGCAAAGCTTTCAGGGGATCTGAGATCCAAACTAAAACTGTAGATTATACCCTGAGTGGTACAAAACATTATTCTTATTTGAAACCTGTATTTGGCCACTAACGAAAAATGCAACTTAAATCATTATCAGTCTTTCTGTAATATAATATCACACGAATATTATTATTAAAAATCATATTCTGCTAGTTCAAGCATTCTAACCCATAAGATATTGAAATTTTTCACATTTGACCCTATTGTGGTTCTCATTATGAGCTGGAAGTTTTGTATAAAGATTTATGGAACAAAAGTTATATTTAGTTCCTGCAATACTTCTAATATGTTTTTAATAGGAGTAACAACATTTTCTTCATCTTTATGCACAAATGAAACGTATGAAGTCATTGTGATTTATTTTTGAAGAAGCAAAACTTTATAACTGCTCCTGTATCGTAAATGAGAAGACATTAGTATCCATTTGTTGTTTCCACTTGGATGCGCAGTTATGCAAGGAAAGATGGACATGTATGTATTATGCATATGCTCTATGTACATTTGTGTCTAGAAAGCTATTCAAACACTCATCCAGATGACCTTTGTAATTTGAAGGTGAACTGGTTTATGAGTTTCAAACCAGTTGAGCATTGAATATGTATTTGAGATCGCATATGCACATACGTACGTATGAGCTGTGACAGCAACTGGCCTTGTGTTGCTGAGTTTTATTTTCTGTTGTCTAAAATACATAAAGTGTGCAACACATTACACCCAATTATATCAAATGGCTAAAAGTTTGATAAATAAATATTTTATTGAAACACCATACAAAATAAAGTTAAAAACTCCACATGTTTTGATCCCTTAGTGTCTTGTTAAGTAGTTAGACTTACAATGTTAAACTTTATTTTGTCTGGAGTTTCAACAAAATGATTAGATCCGTGTGTTGCAGTGTTCATTTCAAACACTGTGTAAGATGATAATGCAGAGAAATGTGATTTATTAAAGTTCATTTATTACAGAGTGTATTTCTATGAATTTGTGAAATTTCTTATTGTTGTTTCTGCTGTTAGATATAATACTAAAATACAGGTTGGGTGGAATTAGATTGCTTTAAAATCTTTTGTGGTTTATGTTAGATTCCCAGAAATAATTTAATTTTTAGCTGATATTGTTGTACATCTTCGTTACATCACTGCTACTTGTATGTGTTTATTCACAGTAGACAGTAATAATGAGCATTATATAATTCAGTAATGCAGTGGATACAGTGCCTTTGTGGAACAGCTCTCATGAAAAGTAAAAAATAGGTTACATTTGATCAGACATTTACTTGCAAGGTCTGTTTTAAGACTGAGAAATCGTAAGATCTATTTATGCTACATTATTCTGTAAAATAAAGTTAGTTAAGAATTGCATAAAAGAAGTTGATTTTAGAAATCATCATTATATATGTATTGCAGCACATATATTGCTGTTATTGGCTTTAATTCATTAAGCGAAGTGAATACATTGTGTGACACTGATCACTGGATAGCCTATAACAGGGTACATACTAGGGTCCCACACCGAAGGGTCCTGGACTCTTAACTATTTTTTTAAAGATAAATTGAATTTAATAAACTTAAACAAAAAAGGAAAAAAGCACTTCAGTTTCAATGAAAAACTTTATTTACAATTTACACTACATGTTTACGTTCTCCAACTGTAAAAGAGCATGTTAATGTTCTATGAAAAACTTTATTTACAATCTACACTACATGTTTACTTTCTCCAAGTGGAAAAGAGCATATTAATGTTCTATGAAAAACTTTATTTACAATCTACACTACATGTTTACTTTCTCCAACTGTAAAAGAGCATGTTAATGTTCTATGAAAAACTTTATTTGCAATTAACACTGCATGATGTTGTTTCCCTTTATGAGTGCAAAGCAATTTTCGATTAAAAATACTTTTCTTCATCTGAAAATTTTCAAATATCATTTGCATTACCCCTAAAATCTCCTAAATAAATATTAAATGTTTTTTCAGAAAAACTTTATATATTATTTGTTATTTTCTTTACCCTAACTCTGTATGAGGTCAGTTAATTTGTTCGACCTCGTAACCACCATAATGGATTAGAAAATAATTATAAATTTCCCCTGTTTTCTTTCTGGAATAACTGCAAATTGTAACAGAAAACCATAATTACTTATCTTAAGTAGCTTAAAGCTTGTAACAGTATACATCCATTTATACTTAAATTTTATTGTTTTATTGCCTTTGAATTATGTCTAATGATTATTCACGCCATATAAATTACAAATTGTGGCGAACGTGCATCTTGCATTACAATTTCGAATTACCTAACATACGGACTACTCATGAGTATACCTTGTGAAAAATTATTATTAATATTGTTATTTGTTTTACTTTATATAACCTAAAAATTTTTCAATTTTTACATTTTAGTTACTTTTATAATAATAAATAAAAAATACACATGAAAAACAAGAAATAAAGTTGTTACCTTGGTCTGTTTATTTTTTGCTCTTGACTGTTGATGAAACTTAGCCCTACTTTTTTATACTAATTGTACTACTGCATTAAATAATGCACCAAAGAACACAGAATAATAACATGCAAAAAGTAAAGTGTTCCATAACTATCACATTTTTTCTGGCATTCTAACTGTGCAATAAAAGCTTAAAAATTCAGCTAAGCTTATCAGTGTGTTTCCTCTATGTATAAAGTTTGAACCGGAAGGAGAATAGACAGTTCTTTATACGAACAACAATGTAATATAATACATCATTTGATAGAAAAAACTTTGGCTTTATGTGGCTTTATTTTTGTGCAATTTATTGTCATTATTGAAACCTGTTGGAAGTTGATTGTGGACAGTTGTGTGCAAACTGTATGCTGTTTGGTTTGTTACGGTACAAAGTTTGAAGCAAAGTACTTGTACTTGCCTTGTATATGGGGCATTTTTCAGTGCATATTCGGTATCTGGGTGGTCAAATCTTGTGTGTACAGGTCCCGGGATTTCGGGTTAACTAGAACCCTGCTATAATTTATAAAAATAATAATTATTGAACAGTTTATTAAATAGTGTGATAAATTAATTATTTTTCCTTTTTTTAAAGGTAAAAGTGGAGAGGATATTTATGTCATTGCTAAATATGACTATCAAGCCCAGGCTAGCCAGGAATTAGACATCAGAAAAAGTGAGAGGCTTCTTTTACTAGATGATAGCAAACACTGGTGGAAGGTATCAAATTCTAAAAACCAATCTGGGTTTGTCCCATCAAACTTTGTGAAACGAGAAAAACCTTCAATATTTGATAGTATTCGTAGGAAAGTCAAAAAAAGAAGTGATTCAAAAATGTCTCCATCTGCCTCACCAATTACTACCAAAGAAATTGATATCAATTCCTCCTCACCTAATAATACATCTCCTAAGAACAAAGCTGTAATAACAACAACAGCATTAGCAAAATACAATTATATAGCTCAACAGGCTGATGAGATTTCCTTGGTGAAGGGCACACGGGTAATTGTAATGGAGAAATCTAGTGATGGATGGTGGAAAGGTGAGTACGAAGGCTGTGTTGGCTGGTTTCCTTCCAACTATGTTCTTGAGGAACTTGATGAACTGAATGATGTTAGTCATAATTATACTCCTGCAAGTTCAGCCACCGGAACTTTAAAAGATACTGATTGTTTGGATGTGGTCCTAGCTTTGTACCCTTATTCTGCACAGAATGAAGAAGAAATGTCATTTCACAAAGGAGAACATTTAGAGATAATTGATCGACCAGCTAATGATCCAGGGTGGTGGAAGGCTCGTAATCAAGCTGGGGAAGTTGGATTGGTTCCTAAGAATTATGTAAAAGTAATTACAGTGGGACAAGGTAGTGGAACTTTAGAATCTGTGGGTTCTTCATCTTCTGTTAGTAGAGACATTGGTGGTTCTGCAGCTGGTGTAGATTTAAGTCGTATTCGGACTGAAATATCTAACATGAATGTAACATCTGTGGAAGGGTCACCTATAGTACAAGCCAAGAATAGAGGTCCTCTTCCAGTTCCTGTCTTGAGGCAGGATTTGCTAGCTAAGCCTTGGTATGTTGGGAATGTCACTAGGAGTCAGTGTGATCAGATGCTCTGTGAATATGGACAAGATGGAGATTTCTTAATTCGAGACAGTGAAACAAATGTAAGTCTTAATGCTCTGTTTAAACTTGTTCAGTCAATATAATTGACTACCCATGAGAATCAGTTAGTGTAATTGATTAATCAACTAATTGAAATTAGTGTTTCTAATTATCACTGTTTTAGATTATTTCAACTATTCCGGTAACTGAATGATTAACGCTATAATTTCTCCTTAATTTTGACTAATTCAAGTTTTTTTCTGCTTAATTGATTAGTCATTATTCATGAAAATAATCACATAATCAAACTATTTTCAGTTATTCCAGCTATCCAAGTCTCGTGGGAGAATAATTGATTAGTTGAATGTAGTTGCATAATGAACCCAGTAATTAACTCTATATGAGCTTTTTCATTTTGAACAATCTTGTAACCAACATTTAATCATACAAACTATAACTCTGAATTTACTAAGTATATTTTCTCAAAATTTTGCAAGATTTTATTAGAAGTCTTTTGTGCAGAAAAAAATATGTTCTGTTATAAAGTAGTTATACTAAAGATTTGTCTGAATTTATGGAGCCTTTATTGAGTCAGTCTGGGCAAAAGGTAATTTTCCTACCAGAAATAAAAATACTTCTTTCATCATAAAGTTTTTGTAGTTCATTTGTATAGCCTCTAGAACCTCATAAATGAAAATAGTTTTTTTTTCAGTAGAACTTTATACATTCTCTTATTTTCTTTACTCTAACACTAACTTTAGTAAAATCACCTGTATTGTGAGTTAAATAATACGAAATCAGAAACTTTTTTTTTCTAGAATGAATAATATTGTAACAATTACAGTTATTTATCTTAAACAGCCTGGGGCTCCTCATAATTTCACCTCTGCTTTCATTTAAAATTATTGTTTTATTGCTCTTTGAACCATGTCCAACTAATGTAACAAAGCAATAAATCACCCAGCAAGAGCTTAGGGTAAAGGTACTATGGAGGTACATCACCTGACAGCAGTCTGTGTGCAGTAGTTGAGGACAAATTTTTTTATTTTTTTTTATTTCACTTTTCTATACTAATAAGTTTCTAATTCTTACATTTGTTACTTTTGTTAAAAATGATACAGTAATGAATAAAAATTGTACATAAAAACCAAGAAATTTAGAAACCTTTTGCATGATTTAATAAGCCAATTTTTTTCTCATAATGTTAATTGTCCAAAATGATATAACTTTCAAATATGCTTTTTAGAACACACAATTTATCAGGCACTAGAATAGAATGTCCCACAACTATTAAAATTTATCTGGCTTTCTAACTAACCTATAAATAGGATAAAACAATTTTCATTAATGCATGAAGCAACATCTTTGGTCTAATGGACATGTCAATCTCTCTTGGCAAGTTATCAGCATTTAACACTAAAACAAAACTGAATGTGCATGTGGTTGGTACACTGGATCCATTTGCTCCTGTTTTTTTTTTCTCTTAAAAATATTTCTAAGGGAATGCCCAAGACTTTCCTACATTGGAGTTGCTTCTTTAGCACTCAAAAAAAACTTCCACTACCGTCAAAAAAACAAATTTTGAAATGAAATTCCTGCTTAACCTGACTTGTGATGTCAGAGGAATGGAATATGATCCTTCATCAGGTCATGTGCCCACTGATCAGAAATATTTCTATAAATGTAGAGACTGTATGAATGCTAGAAGAACTAAACATGACTTTTAGAAGAACTTACAACAGATCCTAAATCTGTCCCATTGAAGGTACTCAAGGTTCAACAATTCATTGACAGTTAAACTGATTCACTAATTCTATGCATTGAGTTAGGTTGTCAAATGCTGCCCCTAAAATTCACTGAAATATCAGCTCTATTGTTCATTTGGTTAAATAAGAATGTACTTTTGAAATCATTCCCCTTTAATATTTGAAGAACTTTAAAAAACAGAAAATTAATGATTAATTTTTCTCTCCTTCAAATAGATTGGAAACTTTTCAGTGTCATTGAAAGCACCCAACAGGAATAAGCATTTCAGAGTTCACGTAGAAGAAGGAATCTATTGTATTGGCCAACGAACTTTTACGTCTCTTGATGATCTTGTAGAACATTATAAGAGAGCTCCGATATACACCAGCCCTGTTGGGGACAAAATGTATCTGGTGAAACCTTTAAAGAAACCTTAAAGAATACTGGTAGCATACATTCTTTGTACAGGGATCTGTCATGTGATCTTAAAATCATGTTATATGAATTGATACCCTAACTAGCTGTCCGCGTAAGAGTTTTGTAGAATATATACTAAATGTATGTAAAACCATGGAGTGATTTGTTGATTGGAAGTTAACTTGTAGTCAGTTATGCTGTCCTTTCCAAAATCCCTCTTCTATTTAAGATCATGTTTACATGTCTAAATGCAAGATCTGTTTCCATTAGGAAGGAATTGTATTCTATTAAGCTGTCTGGAGATATGTATAAGTTTAATAGGTACAAAAGAAACCAAGTTTCTTTTAGGTTTATCCAGCCTTATATGGAACATATGAAATTACAGCTACTGTTTTTGCAAATGCTAGTGTCAGAACTCACTATGCAGCACTCATTGGATTTTCCTAGATAGGCTAAGATCTCTGGGTTTATACATACATAGTACATATAAGTATGAGAAATTTGAAGTAATCTTACATGTTCAAATTGATTTGAATATAAATTCTAGTTGTTGTTTTTTTTATTAGTTTAGAAAGATAATCTGTCATTTGATTTAAATGGACTAATTTTATAGAGCCAGATTTCACTAGCTTGTTATATAAAGATATCATTTGGTAGCTAATGTTTGATGGTTTGTTTTAGAAATATTTATAATGCTGGTTTAGTATGTTGGCTTTTCAGTGCTTCCAAAACATCTAAAATAATATGAATACACATGATTTTAATAACTGATTAAATGTTTTACGCTAATTGTGTTTGTGAATATTTTGTGAGTGATAATTGATTAAGTTGCAGCTAATTCATTCATATTGATGAAGAGATAAGTTAACAAACAGTGTGCACATGTATAGGCTTTTTTTGTTTTTAGTTCCTAATCTTTGTTTAATCTTTAACATTCAGGTAGCTTAAGTGTTGTGAATTGCTTAGTTTCAAACATTTTTAATTACTAGGTTTGTATTTAATTTTAATATTTTTAATTCAAAGTTCACATAATTTATGCTAAAAAGATTAATGTAAAGACCGTGTTGTTTCCAAAATAGGCTATGTTTGTGTGTGTGTGTAATTGTCTGAGAATGTGTATATAGATGTGAAGAACATTAAAGAAGTGCATGTGTGTACATTCTTGGAGTCATTTAGTAGCTAAGAAAGGTGGAAAATTTAGGATTCATGGCATTAACCTTTGATTGTTTGTGTTTGAAACTTGTATTGAGTTGTCCCTGTTCTGTTGCATCTACACATTAAATGTCTTCTGAAACTTGCTAATGTGAACCAACCTCAAACTTGATACACTTGTTTTCTTATCATCTTACAAACTTGTTTTGTACATTATTTGATCAGACATGTATTACAGACACAATGAATACATAACAATCCCTATAAAAATTTCTAACCTTAGACATGTTCGGATAAATTGAAATTTTTACATTAAAGAATATTTTTAGCAAAGATTTCAGTAACAATAAAAAATGTGAGAAAACATTATACAAATTAACCAAATGTTAGTTCTTCATGGTGGAAACCTATTTCATTGATCAGTGTTAACATGTTACAAATTTCATAAGCTTCTGTTTGTGTCTTATTTCTCATACATCATAAAATTTTATTTTTAGCTTTATGGTAAACATGCCATTCAGTTTATTTGTACAGACCTTAAAGTGGATTGACTTCAGAATTGATAGTTTTCCCATGGTCTCTGCTAATTTTGTTAAATACATAAGTGGTGCTATAGTTGTTCTTCCTTGTTTCATACATTTTTAATGTTTTTCTTTAAAATGTCATAAAAATGTTTGACCTAAGTTTGATATGTATATTCACCCACAGAAAAATAACATCAATTTGTATAACAAACTCTGCTGTAAATAGTGCTTTGTCTTTTAGCAGTTTATTCCTTTTTAGGGATCTTCTCAGTCATTAAATAAAAGGACCTCAAACTTGGCAATAATAACCATTCTTCAGGTTTTATAAATACTAGAAGACAAGTGGCATTACTGTAGTTTGTATTATGTGTGTGAGTTTATCTTGATTTGTCTTTAATTCTTTTTATTGGCTATCATATGAGTAAATGTTCAGCAGGGAACACTGAAATTAATTATTTTTTTTTGTAAATTTTTATTGTTTTATTTTTAATGAAATTTTTCATAAATAAACAGATATGATAAGCCCAGATTTGGCATGGTTGCACCTTCAAAGTGATTCCTATTAAATTATTTTCATAGAGCATATGAGATGAATGAGAGTGTTCTAAAAAAACGTTTTTAGAAACTAAAGTAGAACTTTGAGTATTATTGTTTGCAAAATGTTTATTCTGATTAGGAAAGCACTGCAAGACTGTCATATTTCTTAAAACAGAAAAACAGCCTGAAAGTCAAGTTCTTTAGCTTTGAAGTTCTAAGTACATTTTTTAGAATTAGTTAAGTATGGACTGAGTAAAATGAAAATCTTTAAATCTGTTTAATTTTGTAATCTGGTCTAAAGTTTATACGAACATTTTCTGTTTTATATTGTACATGAAGCCTGCTGTACTACTTACTTTTCCCCCTTATAATATCAGTCATTAGCTGAATAGTAGACACATGTGTATTCATTACTGTTTTCTTGGAATTCTGTAATTCATAAAGTATGCCCTACTTGAGTAAGGCTTATCCTGTAGTATTTAAACTATCAGTTACACAGTACAGGAACTGTAATGATAATCATTTCTGTAGACTGAGGCAAGCAGACATACAGATACGAATATGTAGATAACATGCAAATATTTTAATGGACTTTGGAAATTGCTTGGTAAGAGCCATAACATTTTTATATTGGTATTTATTAATGTAAAGTTTTGTTACCTAAGTGGTGATGATAAAAGAAGTAAATATGAAGTAGATTTATTCCTGGATTTAAATTTTTTTGGTGCATCTGTTTAAAGAAAGGAAGTTAACTGTGTGACATTTTTATATTATTTTACAAGCTAAACAAGTGAAGTGGGATAAAATTGTAAACTTCTTGAGAATCAAATATTTAAAAGCTTACTTTTATATCAGAAACTGAACTTTTTAAGATATTTCATGCATGGCACATGTATCTTTTAAAACAGTTTCCACTGAACTATAGTACAATGTACCTACATGTATGAAATCATGACTTTTCTGTGATGAGATGTATGTAAAGGATTTAAGAATTTCTTAAGTAGATAAGAAGTTATTGAAACAGTGATTTTGAATTATTCATTTGCTGACATAATTGAATTACAGTATGGAATACAAATCTTAAAAAATCTATTTGTTTTTACATATATTATAAATATACAATATACATATGTAGACACATACTCACACACAATTCAAACATCAAACTTCTCTCATAAGTATGATATTTAACACTGTTTAATTTTCACAAATTGTGAAGCTTTTACTACAGTAACTAAAAGACCAAATTTCATGTTTCCATCTTGCTGAGGAAAGAAATCTGTTAATTTAAAAACATTTATAAATGTACATGTGCTATTACATCTTGACTCCCTGTAATGTATGTAACATTTGATGTTACTTAAAGTTGTAACACAAGCACAGCAATACTTAAGTAATGCATGTGTTGAGGAATGCTATCAGACAAATCTGGATTTTTGAGATGTGTACCTCAAATCACCAGTAATCAGGGACAACTACAAATACATGTCTATATATCTGTAATTACCCAGTATAAGGTCATATTTTGACTTCTTGTATGTAAAGCTATTTAAAATACTTAAACATTTATAGGGTATGCTATTTTAGGAGCTTCTAGAATACACCCCAATTAGAAAATAGAATTAGAACTAAATAGTTTAATGTAAATGTTAAGTCAGAGTAAAAATGATATCTCTTTCCATAGAAAAGTTGAAACTGTTCTATTTTTGCACCTTAAAAACAAGTAACATTACAAAAGTTGCATTTTTTAAGTGACATAATTATAGTCATAACAGAACCACTAAATTACATTTCACCATTTTTGTTTTTATGTTAATAGTTTTTTTTTATCCTACAGTACTTTTAAGTGAATCTGAAAAAAAAGATAATTTAATATGATGAGCAGAGCAGTTGATAAAGGAGAATAATCTTGTATCAGTACTAGAAAGAAAAATGGATAAATGTGACACTTAACTATTTGGTAGAGATGACAGAAACAATAATAAATTAATGAAACTTAAATGTCATTTGAGGTAAAAAGCAAAGCATTTTACTCTAACTATAAGATTAAATATAATCATTTCCAAGTCAGAGCACTTTTATTTTAGTATAGTTTTGATATACAGTTGAACGTGTTGTATGACAGTGCCAGAGTCGTGCATTAAGTAATGTGTTTAATATGTGTGGTTGTGTAGAAATAGCTCTACCATACAGTAGCTCAAGTAATGTTATGTTAGAGTAAAAGCAATGTATTGTACATTACATTAAATAATATTCAGTATGTATTGATTATATTGTACATCAGGCTAAATAATAAGCTGTGTTGTTGTATGAGCACAAAAGTTTATAAGTTAAATTGAGAACAAGTATTGATGAAAAAGAGCAGCCTTGTAAGTTAGGTCAATGTTCTTTTTTTTTCTGTTAAAATTATAGAAAGTTTGTACAGTTTTTAAAGAAATAATATCTTAATCCTTTGTGTGCATTATGTAAATATTGTCAAATAATTGCACTTATAGTTATAATACTTGTGATAAGCTCTTGAGGTTGCATCTAAGTAGAAGTTCTTTCAAAGTCGATGGATTTGTTAAAATCATATTCAAAAATCAATAACACTACAGTTAACTTAAAATGTGTAAGTGTTCCTAATAACACAAGGTTTACCTGTTCAGTACCCATTTATTGCATATCTGTTAGTATTTACATGTAGGAATATTGAACCAAGTTATTTTTATTTTATATTTCTGTCAGACAGGTTAACTTAAGAACAAGCAGCAGAAACTTAGGATTTTTCACTTTTTCCTTAATTTCAAGAGAGGATAATATAAACATGGTGCACTATAAGTTATTTTGATTGAGAGGTCTCCAAACTTTTAGCCATCTTTAATATATCATCCATTAGTCAGTACGCAGGGATGAGACACTTAACATGCAGATTTCAGGTACTCATTAAGAAAAAACTCTGTGATGGTGTGTCTAATGACTTCTGTAGGCATCTCCTGAACCTTCTTACTTCTATCTTCAATAAAATAATTGGATCAAAAAATAAGAGTTATTATGTATTCCACCATTCCTGTACCATTGATTAGATCTAATTAGGATGAAAGTGTTTAAGTGCTGATTGAATTATCTTCTTGGTATCATTGTTCTTTTGTAGAAAAATCAAACTTTTGTCTTTCAGTAAAAATAGTACAAAATTAGCTTGCCATAAGATAATTTTTCTACAATTTTTAGAGTTGGAAGCTTTTTCTTTATTTTTCAATTAACATGCACCCACCTTGTATTAATTTCAATTTTTAAAATTTCTGTTAAGGTTGATAGTGTTCTTTTCACAGTTTTGTGTTTGTATTTCAATTAAGAACATATAAGTAAGTATATTGTTATATTTAATGGCATTGTGTGTGGAATAAGTCATGTGCCTGTCTTCTAAACATAAAGTTTAAGAGAGTTGCTTATATTTTTCCACTATATTATTGATCAGTTTACACATAATGGTTTGGATGTTTGTCTGAGCGATCTGCTTTCATGAAAGGTACTTAGTTAAATGGCTCTGAACCTCAATGAGTGAAGGCACTCAAATGATGTTGCGATGAGGTTAGTTGGTAGTGTAAATATAAAATCATATTAAAAGAACAGCTAGATCCAGACTAGGCTTATACACTTATAAATTTTAAACTCAGCCCATTAGGTGCAAGATTTGTAGCAAGATTTTATTACTTTTGTTTTAATTATTATTAGAATTATTTTAATAGTCTCTAAGCAATTTGTTAAAAGTAGCTGAAACGTTAAACAAATGTTATAAACCTACATGGTTCAGGTAATAAACAGTTTTTCAAATGAGTGTATATATAGGATGCCACAGTTATCTTAAAATAATGTATTAAAATTGTGTATATTCAAATATACAATCCTTTTATTGTACTAATATGTGCCAATTAAGAAGAAACCAAAACTTTTTGAATATATTTAATTGTCAATGCAGTAAATACTTCAAATCATTCTGAAAGAATAAATGATTTTACTACCTAGAACAGGGTTCGGCAATCTGTGGCCCTTTAAGGATGGTTATACGGCTCTCGTCTATCTGCTGTGTGCACCAAGGGGAATTGAATTTCTGATTTTAACATTGTAAGTTCGAAGACTTACTGCTGTCCCACCGGTGGACTTTTCTTTTCTTAGGTTAGACCGTTAAGGCATATTGCAGCTCTCGAAATGTTTTGGCCTTAGACAAAAACAAAAAATGGCTATTCTCCTCTGAAGGTTTGCCAACTCCTGATGCAGAACTTAACACAGTGTGCAGAACTATAATTTTCAAATGATCTTTTAGTTTAGTATTTGTATTTTCTTAGAAATAGTTTAGATTTACTTCACAATCAAATTAACAATTGAGAGTATGAAGCATATCTATGAGAAAGCATGTGGGAGAAATTTCTTGCTGAAATTTATTTGTGTGCTTCATAATAAGAATGTAGCTTTGGAAGCAACTTAATATTTTGAGAGTGTAATCATAGTCTTCCTATCTTGAATTTATTATTTTCAATTCCTAAAACAATATAAAAGTACACACTGGTTTGTTGTTATGTATATTATGTATTAAATTACCACTATAAATATAGTAATGCCAAAATTAAGTTCAAAATAGTAGTCTACAAATGATAATCGAAGGTGTGATAAGTTTCTGTGATAAAATTAACAAATTTCTTCAGCTTACTAATTACCAAGTTTATGAATTTAACAATTGTTATATATTGAACTTAACCACAACCAATTTTTGCAGAAAAGAGACCCCTAAAACTATTATTTTATGTATTAAATAAGAAAGGAAAAATATGTTTAAAATATTCTTTTCCTAAGGAGATTCTTTTTGGATGAGTAAATAAAATAGTCTTGATACTTGCATGTAATATCTTCTAAGAACTTAAATTATAGTTTACTATTTATGGAACTGAAGACTCAACTAGTTATGTGCTAAAATTAACCTTTTCTAGTCAGTAGAGAATTTTTTGTTGACAAATGAGAAAAAAAAACTATCAGGGTATATAATGATGCCATATTTAACATGTATAGGAAAAATTGTGCAAGTACTTCTGATTTTACCAGCACAAGGATGAAACTGAAATTTAGGACCAAGTATTGAATTAATGTGAATGACTTTTACAATGTATAAGTTTTTCTTATCTGATAAATAGCAGCATTTTGTGTATACTTCAATTCTGAAGTAGAGCAGGAATACTTATGCTTCCATCGTGAATACATATAGTAGCTCAAGTTTGTTTTACTGTGTTTAAGCTGCCTACTTTTGTAAATAAAATGTAGAAATAAAAGCTTATTGTGTGTTGTGAATATTCATTAAACTGTACCTAATTTAAACTGCGTGTACCAACACGAGGAAATTGACAAAACGGAGTGACTGGCATGCTTATTTGGACACATGTAAGAAATTGCTTCCGTGTGATTCTTATAACCATTTGGTAAGCAATGTGGCCAAACAATATTGGTCCCATAACAACAATTGTGTCATGAGTTTATTAGATAATGTAATTTATAATGTGTATCCATTGAATCGGGTTTACGCACGCACCACACTTGGTATTGCTGCACAAAAATCATAATCATTGGCTGAATTTATCCATTACATTTGCTTTGTTGTTAAGGGGACACAATGACGCAACATTATCAAATTTTGCCAATCAGAACTTTCAGCTACAACATTAATAACCTACGTCCTACCCGCAGCACATTTCAATTTTGAAAATGCCCAAATTAAAGCGTGTTCCTTCAGCTCAGCGAGTTAACAAAGCCAAAACCAGGAAAACAGTCCAAAGAGAAGACCCCAAAATTGATAATAAAATTCACTGCCTTTACCATCACAATTAAGAATTTGCAGGGTCATACAGTTGACCGAGTAGTAATGTCTTGAAAATCAGTTTTTTCGCATGTTTCAATCTGTGAGGATTTATCAGAAAGAAAATCTGAACATAAAGTTAAAAATACACAGAAGTCAAAATACTAATCAAGAAATATTTAAAGGAGATAGATGACCAAATATACACAAAAAAAATGTTGTTTTCGTGAAACACTAGAAATAGGATAGTCATTCTCCACACATATATTGTTACTATATCATAATTAATTTTTCGAAAACATTTTAGATACAATTTTGAGAATAAAATTAATCATTTCCCCTCACGTGATGGGCATTCAGCTTGACTACTATATAAAAACTAAAAGGTGCTACTATAGCGTGCGTCTAAACAGATACTATCATCATCACCGTTTTAAGTTTCGTTTATTTGCAATTGGCACCATTTATTATAAATAACGCTTTTCAACTAATAAAGTACAAAATACCATTACATGACATTTTGGGGGCAAATATAATCGGAATGAAATAAATCCC